GCCAAATGCTGCCCCTGCCAAGGAAACACACGCTCAGATGCACAGAATGCTGCGCCTGCCACGACTTCGGCAGTGGCATCTCCAAAGTGCTGCGCCTGCCACGATTTCGCGCGCCCCAAGCCGCGCGCGCGACAACATCCCAGCCCTTTGGACAGCTGCCAAAGGCTGCCCCTGCCAGGCAAGCACACACTCAGATGCACAGAATGCTGCGCCTGCCACGACTTCGGCACCAGCATCTTCAAACTGCTGCGCCTGCCACGATTTCGCGCGCCCCGAGCCGCGCGCGCGACAACATCCCATCCCTTTAGACAGCTGCCAAATGCTGCCCCTGCCACACACACAAGCCCAGGTGAGTGTGAGTGAGTGAGTGAGTGAGTGAGTGAGTGAGTGAGTGAGTGAGTGAGTGAGTGAGTGAGTGAGTGAGTGAGTGAGTGAGTGAGTGAGTGAGTGAGTGAGTGAGTGAGTGAGTGAGTGAGTGAGTGAGTGTGAGTGAGTGAGTGAATGTGAGTGAGTGAGTGTGAGTGTGTGTGAGTGAGTGTGTGAGTGAGTGTGTGTGAGTGACTGTGAGAGAGTGAGTGTGAGTGAGTGAGTGTGAGACAGTGAGTGTGAGTGAGTGGGCGGCGGGGCGGGCGGCGGACGGCGGGGCCGGACGGCGGATGGCGGGCGCGGAGCGGTAAAAGTAAGAACCCCACACAAAGATGTGGGGAACAACAACAACAACAACAACAACAACAACAACAACAACAACAGCAGCAGCAGCAGCAGCAGCAGCAGCAGCAGCAGCAGCAGCAGCAGCAGCAGCAGCAGCAGCAGCAACAACAACAACAACAACAACAACAACAACAACAACAACGCGCACCAAGTATTCGACCGGTTTGAGAAGCATTGACTTTGATGCAACTCCATATGGGTCGCCGGTTACCATTTCTGTGCATATCCCAACTGTTTTTCAGGATCCTGCCCCTGCACTTGGGGGGTCAACCGGATGTGGCTGGAAGATCGGTACAGCGAAGCCATGAAGGTGGTGGACATATTGGCTTTAGGTTGCCAGAATAAATGATGAAGTTGTCAGGAGGGCATCAAAACGTGTGCTTCTTATACAACTTCTCCTAGCAACTCCCCAAGTACAACAACCGCGCAGTCAGTTTTGGTCTGCTTTAGTCTTCCCCGAGGTTGTGTGTGGGATGTGTGTTTGAAGGGATTCTCTACTTGGATGTTCAACCCACGTCAGGTACGCGCATCATAGCCACGGCTGCAAAAGGTTGGTGGACAAATGACCATTATTACAGCCTACTTACCTGACGTGGGTTGAACATCTAAGCAAGGGGGCTTCGCTTGTTTTTTCTCCTGGCTGAGGGGTGTGTGTGTGTGTGTGTCTGCTTTTTGAGAGTGCCTTTTTTGGGAGTTTTGCAAGGAACCAACTTGCGATCGCTGCGATAAGTAGGGAATGAGATGGAATGAATTTTGGTCTTTTACAGGAAAAAAACGAGGTGGCTGGTTTATAGGGCATTCCAATTCTCATTCCCTGCCAATCGCACCAGCAAAGCCAAAAGGAAAACGCGTCCTGTTGGGGTCCAAGTCCCGTTCGCCAGGTGAGCCACAATCAAAACCCGGGTAGATGAAGGTTGGTAAGGGAAAATCCCAACCATAAATAGCGGCGGCCGCCTTCTCAATTCTTTACATGGTTCTGGGTGAACCATTTTAATACCGGGTTTGGATTATGACTCAGGTGGTTTCCTCCATCAAGACCAAGCCCAACCCGCTGCTGGAACGGCGCCGCAGCTCCTGCGACTTTTCGAACTTGCCCCTTGGATCCACATCCCTCTTCCCTCCGGTTCCTTTTTAAAGGTGGCCTGGACAAGACTGGCTAGGTCCCCCAGTAGTGCCCTTTGACCCTTTTTGGGGGGATAGTTCCCCTACTAAAATCGACTACAGAAAAAATCGGGTACCCTTATTCTATCCTCTCTACTGGAGGACCTAGGATTGATTCATGTTTATCATGTTGGTTTTAAAGGGAAATGGCTGTGGTCATGAGTCATGACTGAGATCAGGGCGGCGCTGCACACACACACACACCCATTGTTTGTGGCGGTTTTACAGGGAAAGCCAAAGGGACAGCAACTCATTTGGGGTCTACCAAAAAGACAGATACCTAGATATCGCAAAGAAAAACAAACACCCACAGACCGTGGCATTTTTCTCATGTGTCCAACTTGTTCTTGATTACCCTGTGCCATCGAAGCCAAACTTTTTTGTTCAGGTCAAATCAGGCAAAGGAGCCTTGGAATAGGTCCTTTTGGATGGTTGTTTTGCAGGGGACCCGTAAAGGGTGGTTTTCCTTTTGGCTTTCCTGAAAATTCAATCAAAAGGGATACCCTCACAAAAAGACACGCCCTTTTGCCGCTGGCGAGCTATTCTGGAGGCAGGCGGCGTCTTGATTCTCCGTGCAACCAGAGCAAATCGAGATCTGACATTTAGGCATGTGTCCAGATCGGGGGGCCCCCAAAATGATGAAGCACCAACATCAAAAAGGTCCCCCAGTAGTGCCCTTTTACCCGTTTCCGGGGCAGGGTTCCCCTACCAAATAGACTCAAAAAGGGGGCCCCCCTGAACACGACACCACCCCGTCTTTGAATTTCCGGCGCTGCTTTTGAAGCTGAAATGTTTGCTTTCTGATGTCGAGGCACCGAGCTCCCAGGAAAGCTCCCGGAAAGTGACCCAGGGTCCCAAAAAAGGGACCCCTGGCCTTCTGTTATTTGTAGGTCAAGTATGGAGCCATGGAGATGGAAAGCTTTGGTTTTGGTCCTTTCCCCAATTTTCTGGGTGGCTACCAGCCATCCGGTTCAACTGAGCCTTTTAGCATCTTTTAGCCGGCTGAGTGGTAGTTTTCGAGAGGCCAACCCACTAAAAGTTCGTCACTTTCAGCGGATCCGCTAGAGGGGGCAGCCCAGTTTGGGTTCTCCTTGGGTTGAAGCTGAGGCTGCCCATTGCGATGGACGAGTCGGAGGAGTTGGCAGAGAAGGAGCACGAAGTTTTTCTGCATATCCATATTCTGTACAGATTCAGCAATGAGTTTGAAGGACGAATTCATCAATTCATTACATATTTGTAGTTCTGGGCATGAACCAGCTCTATGTTGCAATCAGCAGCTCGGGGTCAATTCAACATGAGAGGTGGGGTATGTAGGGGGCGTTTTTGCGTGCCAAAGCCACAACCTAACTTATTTGGAGTGAGGGTGGTTGCTTTCTAGGTCCCCCAGTAGTGCTCTTTGACCGTTTCTTTTTTGGAGGAGATTCGGTTCCCCTACTAAAATCGACAAGAGAAAAAGAATCGGGTACCCCGATTCTAACCTCTCAAATCGGGAGGACCGAGCTTTCATAAGGGACCAATCTTCTATCGAAGATGCCTTTGGAAACCATGGGCTTGGCTTGGCTTGGCAGGAGCCGGGCAGAAGCCGCGCACTCAAGATGCTGCTACGGATGATCAACCTGGAGGTGAAGACTAGGCGCGGGTGGGAGAGGCGCAAACAAGAAGCCGTGGTGAGTCATAGCCAGAGAAACCCCATGGCACGACAGGCAGAAGGGGAAGTCCCCCATGTTAGAAAAATCACCATGGAGTGGTAGTCACTTGGCCGATCTTGCTCGTCTAATTGCCAACTACTGCATATATACATAATATATATATATATATACACTTGTGTAGGTGAAACAAACACTATTTAGAGCCGGCGTTTCCAGCACCCGCGTTCGGTTGGTCACGAGGCTGTCCTTTACCTAATGTGCCCTTTGCCAATTGCTGGCTTGTAAGCAATCGTTTGATCGTGAGCATGTGACCATGAGGAATGGGAATCCAGCTTCAAAGAGAACCCAATGCCTCATGCGACGCCACCACATGCCCTGACAAGGCTTTCCCTCATCGAAGGTGGCCCCACCATTTGCAAGACACCGTAGGTAAGGCGCGTCTGGCAAAAAGTGTTTACCTTTTTTTTTTTGTGAGGTAAAAACGAGCCCAACTTCATCCCCTCCCCCCCAAACAACACCCCAAGCCCAACCCCCAACCCCCAACCCCCAGTCCCGCTCAGGCAAGCCCATCGCCGGGAGAATCTGCTGAGAGCAGTGCTGGATGCCTTCCAGTGCCAGGCTCGAAATCCTGCAGCAAATCGGTCTGCGTCCAGTGCTGCTTGATTTCCCGGGTAAATGGGCAAACCCATGGGAGGAAAACATGGTTTCCCTCAAGGGGGTGTTTTTTGTTTGAGGTTGGACCATCAAAATGGCGCAACGGCGTTCCTCTTGGTTTTCCTGTACCTACCAGAAAGGAGTACCAACTCAAAACAAGGCACTATGAATCATCCTGTCGCCTCTTTGCATCTTGAATCAAGCTTCTTGAGATTATCACTTGGCTTCGGATGGCAGTTGCCTTTTGCTGGAGAGATGTTTAAAGGGAACTATGGGGACCCCTGTTAAACCAACATAACATGTGAAAGCGACGAGAAAATTAAACAGCCTTAGTAGACATATCTTACTCACTTCTTTTATGCCCTAGCTGGCGACGAAATGAGAGTCCAGATCGAAGGAACCAACCACCTGGATGGCCGTGTTGAAGACCAGGACATGAGAATTTGTGATCCGCCCTCTTGTGGGTTGCAATAAGTAAAACAAGATGTTGGTCCAGACTGGTTTATTGAATTGATTGGTGCGTTGTAGACTTGGAAAGATGGTGGTACCCTCCCTACCACTAACATAGCACCCTGTGGAAGGGTATCTGGAAGATCATTTTCCTCTTGTAGGGGCCTTCTGGCAGGTGCCATGTTAGTCGGAGTGAGGGTAGATAAGCCAGTAAAACTAGACAGGCTCCTTAAAAGATCTCCATTTTGCAACCATTTGAAACATGTGGCTTTTTCAACACCAAAATAAGGGGAAACCACCATGTACAAGTTGCCATGTTCAGGTGTTTTTCATGTAAGGATCCCTGCTGGACTTGAGCAACACTTGACACTCTTTTACTTTTTTGAAGAAAAAAACAACGAGGATTGGCATCCTTTTTTGGCTGGTTCTGCCACATTGCTCAAGACCCCACCCCCCCCCCCAATTGGAGTGAGTGGAGCCCACATCCCGGCCGAAGCCAAAAATCAGGCCGTCCCACTAAGGGGAAGGGCAAAGCATGAATTAAGGGAGCCCTTCCCCAAGAAAAGGAACCAGGACGGAATCCACTGGGCTGGAGAATTATCCTGCTCGCTGCATCCATCGGGATTGGAACCTCCGGGACACGGTGACCTCCGTGCTTAGGACCCATGGAAATCCTCTGGGCATCTGAGATCCAGAGGTTCTCCCTGAACCAAATCCCTCTAGCCCGGTATGGATGTATACGTAGCCTGTCTACGGCTTCATGTACACATGTTGCACGAACTATGACCAGGCTTCATCGCATCGGGACCACATCGAGAACATGGTTACCAATTAACTAGATATCATTTTGATGTTCCTTATTGAGTTTTCATCAGTCGCTCCAAAAAGTGAGTGCTTGGAAGATGATTTCTGGCCAAAAGAGGGCTTTACGAACAGTGTTTAAACCCTAGCTGGGATTTATGGAGGTCAGGCGCTTTCCCCCTTGTGGTGGGGGCAAGGATGCCTTTGCCCGGCATGCCCGGTGTTCATCTCAAAGAAAACAAGTTTGTTCAGGTCAAACCCCACTTGAAACCTGCAAAACTGAACAGGTTGCGGGCAAATCCTTGGATCTTGCCAAAGGAAAGAACTTGGTTGCGGCAGCTTGTAGCCTGCGCAGGCTGGAATTCTCGGGGCCGGTTCATCCAGAAACTGTTCCCTGCCTTAGATCCCAAGTTGACCCTTGGGATCTACCATCAACATGATGTTCCCGCCATCCGGAGGTCTGAGCCAAAAGCCTCGAAGAAACCAAGATGTCTCAGCCGAGGAGGAAGCTGAACCATGTTTGAGTGGGCCACCAGTTGCGGTTTAAGGAAGAACTGAAGAGCCCGCAATTATTTCGTGCGGGGTCAACCAACTTGTTAGAGTGAATTACATACCCAACACAAACATAGCCCACTTGGTCCGCCTTGCATACGGACCTTTCCCTGGATGGCCCCTGTATAACTCACTCACAACCACTTATTGTACGGTTGTATGAGTGTAAGTGTGAATTTGTTTTTGTATGTTTATTTGTGTTTTTGTTTGTTGGCTTGTCCGTTTGTTTGCTTGTTTGTTTGTTGGTTTGTTTGTCAATGTTTTGTTTGTGTCTTCAGGGTACCCTTTCAGCTTGGGCGGGAACACATGAGAAGGCCACCCAATTTGGGGGGTCCCACAGAGCCACCGCCCAGCGCTGAGCCCGGCGCTAGGTGCAGGTGGCGCGGCACGTGCGCGGCACCTTCACCGAGCAAGAGGCGGGATCGGGTTCGGGACTCTCATCGGGGTTCCCGTTTAAACTCAACCAACCGAAAAAGCATGCCACTTTTTTTTCCTATGGTCACATGCCACTTTTCTTCTCATGGTCACTGGGCATTTGAGGTGCCAAGTGGCACGCATCAAACGAGATGAATTCAGGATCAAAAACCAGAGGAAGCCAACACGACAGGTCAAAAATGTTGGTCTCATGTCTCCCTTTTGCCCGCGTCGCACTCAAGGGGCAAAAGGCTTCCCCAGTTTTCATCTGCCAAAAGGCTGAAGCTCTTCCAGATGGCTTCCTTGAAACCAACCACTTGAGTCTTGATCGCAGTCTGAGATGGTGTGCATCCCAATTCACGGGAGAACAGGACAGCTACCCTCGATATTGCGGTTTTATAGTGGTTGCATATCCCAGTAAAAACATCTATGGCAGTGGATTGTGGGTTGCCAAAAAACGTCTTAGATCCCTGGTGGTACCAGAGGCCAAGCATGTGCACATGACATTGTTGTCCTATAATCATGGGGGCACACTGTGGATGGACCAAATCCACTTGGCACCGGTTGGTAGGTGGCGTACCAACGAGTATCATCCATCCCTGTGCAAAGTTATTTTCCCATCCACAGTGTGTTAGTGGTACGTGGCATGACTTCAACATGTTCAATGATGATGTTGTGTTTCCTAATGGATATGTTGAACAGATGTCAATATATGCGTAGTACTTTGATGGACGAAATCCTTGCACCTAAGAAACCATAGAAGACCATGGTGTGTTGGCATTTGCAGGGGGGAATCGAATCATTCCAGGGTTTCTTAGGTGGTGCGAAATGGATTTCGTGTCTGACCCCCCACAAGGTACCGACGCTCTTCGCCAGGCCGAGGCGGTACACGAGGCCTTCGAGCGGTGCACAGGCGCTGGTGAAATGCGCTTTTTTGTTTGTTGTTGTTGCAGGGAGTGAGAAATGGAATGAAGCGTTTTGGGATTCCCTGAAGTAACGGACACCACCAGAAAGGAACGGATGGTTCTTCCTGGGCTTGGGGGTTCGGGCCGAATCGACCAAAAGGGCCGCTTTCTGGTTTTGACCGGGTCCCAATGCTTTCCTCTTCATCCAATAGCAAACTCCGCCATCCCAAAGATGGGAAGGTGTCAAATGCAGGGATCGCCCTTCCCCCAGATATCTTTCATTCCGTTTGTGGTCAGACTATGTTACTCTTCTTCTTTAAACCCCATGGCATGTGTCTTGATTTGCGGCTCCCGTTTTGGTGGGTGGTTTAAAGGGAGACCAAAAGGGCAACCATCATTTCGGGGGGTCCGATTCCTCAAAAAAATAAATAAAAACACCCCGTGTGTCTTTTGCCCAAATTGTGGAGACTCCTCAAGATGAGGTCTGTTAAACCCCCCACGGAAGATACCCACAAGGGCGGTACCCTTTCTGACCCTCATAGCTACCAGCCCAAAAGAACTCTGGTAGAGAGGGAGGTTCATTCAGACCTCAGTCTCTTCGGTTTCCTTTCCGTTGCGTTTCCCTTCCTTTCCCCAATGTAAGTCCCCATAGTTTTTAATGTTGCCTCCCACTCAACACTGGGGATCGTATGGATGTCTTTCGCTGCTTTTGTTTCCTTGGCTTTTCGTATGGGATGCCTCAAATGTACAAAGAGATTTGCATTTCATGTCGCAGGATCCAACCAGGATTTCCCATTCTCTTGCTGGTTCGATTAGCATTCACACTTATCCATCAATTCCTGTTTTTGTAGTAGTCCAGCTTGTGGATTTTCAATCACCTATGATATTCAACCCTTTGTGGGTAGTAGTTCCTAGAGTATCCATGGCTGCAACCATGGTATCAAGGAGACCAGCCGGAACGGATGTTGGGGTCATTCCCCTTGCCATTCCCTGCCTAAAGTCACCTCCAGCGGCTCAAGGCCCCCGTGTAGAGCTGGGCTCGGAGAACTCGCTCTTCTGGTGCCTGGCGGACTTGGGCCTCACAGGCGCCGAGCGCAGCGAGCTGCGGGAAGGGGATGGGGGGGCGAGACGGCAGGGGTAGGCCGAGGCCCAGGAAAAGAATGGCCCAGAATTGGAGCCAAAAAGGGGTGGTTTGGCCAATTTTACGGGTGGGAATGGGTTTGTTTTCTGGGTTCCAAGTCTCATTCCCTACGGAACCAGTAAGCATATGCTTCAGACCCTCCTTCCAGGGATGTTAGGACTTTTTTGTTTTTGCCAACTAATGGGTTTTTCGTATTAAACCACTAAGAATGAAACTTGTAGCAGGGGAGCAGAAAGCAACCGAGATTCCAAATGGAAGCTGGCAAGGTTTGGAAGACTGCTTTTGGGGAAGCCCCTGGCTACTGTTGGAGAGAAATATGGAACAGAGTCGGACAATTGTGTTTCTGTGCACCCCGGATAAAGGGAATTTGGAATGAACCTCCCAATCATTCCCTGGAAAACCCGGAGGAAGGTCGAGGGTCATTCCCAAATCTCCCAAGGAGCAAGAACAAAGGGGACCTGGTGTACGTATACTCCTCAATCTGGCAGGCCGTTTCTGAAGATTTGCGTGAGTTTCTTAATTGTTTTCCTTGGGCTTCAAAACAGGCAGCCAGCACATGGTCTGAAATTTGATCGAACAGTTTGCAGAAACCATGCTGTATTGTAGGACAGTCTCGTATGTCTTTTGCTTTGAATGGTTTGAACAATTTAACATAGCCTTTTGGGCTGCCATGTTCTAGCCCTGTGAGGATTCCCAGGGTGATCAAAGTCGGGGTCTGACTTCGACAGCGAAATGAGGCCCTTGGTTGCCCAGTTGGTTCTGGGACGGGTTCCCACACATTACAAAGCCAGAAACGCGGTGCCCCCAGAGAAAAACGCTGTGCCCACCTGGCCAGTAACTTGGTATACATGTCCTTTAGAGTGCCGGGGGTGACGTTCAAGCACTGTGGAAAAGAAGAAGGATACCTTTGTTATTTTTTGGAAATCCGCTACCCGGACCCTAAAACGAGCTTTAAGACTGGGAAATCCCCGAGTTGCGGGACTTCAAGCTTTTTTTGGGAAGACCTTTTTAGTGTTAAAAGTAAAGTGCTTTCCTTTTTATTGACCAATCCACTCCTTGAAGTGAGAGAGTATGCCAGTTCAAAAAGTTTCCTCTTTATGGAAAATTGGTTCCCTGGGGCCCAAAAACGGCCCCCATATTCATTTTGGATCAACCAGGACAATTCGAATGCAAGAGGAACCGCTTCTGAATTTTGTACCCGGATTATTCCGAGGTCGACACGAGTTGCTATCGCCGGATATCACCGGGGCACAGGTCTTTTTGTTCCCTTCCTCCTCCGCAATCACACGGAGCTTGTGAACCCTGGGCGAACTTCCACAAAGTACACCTGATTCAAAGCTTCGCGGCTTTAGTGGATTCCACCCCTTTGAGGATAGAACAGCTTGTTGAAACATCAACTCGGTTTACTGGGTGCTAAATAGCCAACGTTGGGTGGTTTGTTTCAGGGTACCCCACAAAATCCGCTTGGATTCCCTGCAAAAAACCAACCAAAGTGGGGTAGCAGCTCCAAAAAAGACAGAACCCATTGTTTGAATGTCACTCATCCTTTGGCGCATTTGGTTTGGGAACCAGAGGTGAATGATTCGCGAGTAGATTTATTCGGTTTTGGGCCCCTGATTTCTGTAGGAAGCAGCACAAATTCACTTGCCAGGTTCCACATAGATCCGTCAACATCAAATGGGACCCCTTGTTGCTTGACAAGTTTGACATAGCATCCACGAAGTCTCCAACCTTTATAAGTGTTAGAACGCTGCTACAAGTAGTTGTCACCAGCTTTTCTGGCAGCCCAGAAAATATCCAAAGCTCTCGCAACACATTCTCTTGCTTGTGCTCAGCAGGGAATGACTCGGATTGACCCTTATAAACAATCCAACTGGCGGTTTCCTTAAGAGGTTTCCTTAAGGGGACCAACGTCATTCCAACTCATTCCCCACCTCTCGCAGATCGATCAAGCACACCCTCTCCTCCAGCACTCGACTCGCTCCTTTTCGCTCCACTCGCTCCTTTTCGCTCCGCTCGCTCCGCGCTCGATTCGTTTTCCCGCGCTCGGCGCGGGGCGGCGAGGCAACTCAGTGAACGAGAAGCGCCGGGTGTGGGAGCAGATCGCCTTGGCCTTCGGGAACCCCATGCCGGAGCCGCAGGCGACTGGATCCGCGGAGTCTATTTTGCGCTCGCCAGGAAAAAGAGGGGGTGGAGGGCCTGGGGGGTCAGGAGATGGTTCCTTATGTGGCCCCGGAGTTTATGTTTTATGTCCAGCATGTTCATAGGGTGTTGGAGTCCCAAATTCATAAACCCCCAGATTATTCAGAGGGTGTTGCTGGCTTTGGTGGGGGGTTCGTCACTGGAGGAGAACAACCCCGTCATTCATAAGCAGGGGTAAACATGGTAAACACTAAGGACGTTCCACCTGGAAAGGCGGGGGGGGGCTTGGTCGGCCCCGAACCACTAAAAGCAACTCTTAGGCCATTTCTAGGCCCTTCTGCAACCCAAACCACCTCACAACAAAAATCATCACAGCAAAGCAACAAAAAAAGCGGAAGAACCACAAATTGATCCGCGTCCTCACCACCAAAGACGCGGAGAACGGCCGGGCTGCGGCTCTGCTTCGCGGGGGCGCGCGGCTGTGAGGTGGAGGAAGAGGCTGCGAGCGACAAGCTGCAGGCGCTGATGCGCAACTTGGCCCAGGCGTCCGGGTCAACAAAGGCGTTTTACAGGGCTCCTTAAAAGGGAGGTATATACCCTGAAAAAGAAGTAGTAAAAAACAAGTTTTCCAAACAATGCCCTTACAATCCCTCTTTAAATCGGAGGGTAGTCTTGGGGAGGACCAATTTGCGGTATCACAGAGGATTCCATTTCCCACAGCCCATGCTTAGCCTGAGGCAAGCAGATTACAACAGGGCTCCTTAAAAGATACATGTTGACCGTTTGAAACATGGCTTTTTCCACCAAAATATGATAAGGCAATGTTCAGATGTATAATGTAAGGATCCCTCTTTTTTAGTTCTTTAGCTGTTGAGTGGTGGTTTCCGAATTTACACCGCTAAAAATTAGTCACTTTTAGCGGGGGATCCGAAAACGGGCAGCCCAGGCAAGGAGGGCGAGGGCATCTGCGAACAGGAGATCCGTCTACCGAGCGTGACTTCTCGCGAACGGCGGTGACCCTATTTTTTGCGTTGGTCGGTGGGTTTGCATCGGTTTGTGTTGGGGGACTTGTCCAGAAAATGAGTGGGCTTCCTTGTGGTTCCCCTTCAAAACCCAGAAAATGGGTACCCAAAACGAAAGGCAGACCTATATGGTGTTTGAAATGGCTGGTGTTCTTTTTGGGAGACCCCTCTAAGTATCCACCAAAAGGGGGTCCAATCATCAGGCCAAAGGCGAGTTTAATAGCATGCCGCAGTCCGATTGAAACTGTAGCCCCGCCGGTGCAACATAGGGCTGTCTTCGCACCCCAAAATGGGCGAGTCTGGCTTTGCGCTTGCCTCAGAATACCTTCAAGCGACATCGCCTAGCCACAACTGGTGCAGACTCAGGATACATTTTACATTTTACCCGTGACTCAAAGTGAAGCAAACAATAAAATATACATTCATGTCACTGGTTGCCTAACTCTAATCATGACAAGAGGTGCCAGGGATGTCCAGGGTAAATCCCAAGGCTCACGGGACGGGGCCGCCATCTCTACCTCGATTGGTGGGACTGACCCCACGGACCCGGTTCACGGCCCAAGCAAAGCCCAAGCACCAAGCCAGAACGCAGCCAAAGGCTGAAGCTAGAACAGGGCTCCTTAAAAGATACCTTTTGACCATCTGAAACATGTTGCTGTTTCCACCAAAATAAGGGGAAACCACCATTGACAAGGCAAGTAAGGATCCCTGTAGAAGCTCACACCGGGCCAAGGTAGACACACGAGCCAAGAGCGTCCTTGATGTGTGCGCTCGTTTTGGCCGCGGTTTGGGTCGGTCTTGTCAGGACCTGATCCTTTACGTGCTGCCGGCGGTTCGCAGAGTTCTGGAGGAGCGCCCAAGTCAATGTTATGTGATCTTCCCCCACAACAGCTAGAAAGTTATGCCATAGTTTTGCCAGTGTTTCCCTTTAGACGTAAGTGTGGTTTTAAGAATCACCGTGTTGGTTGCCATGAGGTTCTTTTGAGGGGGGGATGTTTCACTTTGCCCAAACTTTGCACCTTCGCCGGCCCCATGAGTGAGCAAGGTGCCAGGGACCTGACTCGTGTGTTTTTCTTTTTCAGGGAACGCCTTAAGGGGTCATTTTTTTTAGTTGTTCGGTCCTTCCACGGCTGAAAACCACAAATTTGCAGTTGTTTTGGTCCTTGCACGGCTGAAACAACCAAACAAAAATTGGGGGCAACTCATCGCAAGCTCGCCTGGCTGGGGGACAAAGGTGAGCTCACCTTTGGAGGACTTCGTCTCACTTCCTGCGTTCCGTTTCGGAGCTTCGTCCACTTTTTGGGTTTGGGTGCCATTCAGGAACCAAACAGAAAGTGTGGTTGCTCTTCTGGGCCATCCGCTCAGGACGAAAGCAATTCTCCTGGTAGGCTTTTGTGGCTTTGGAGAGGACGTGGGACCCAATTTCCCCTTAGATGGTTGGCTCACTTTCCCAGGTTATGGACTGCAAAGCTTTTGGGGAAGTTTGAGCAAACATACTGTGGATGGTGGCGAAATCCGTTTCGCACCGTTTAGAGCCCCTAGAATGATTCGGTTCCCCTGTAAATATCAACAATGGTTTCAACCATGGTTTCAAAGTGGTGCAGGATTTTGTCCATCCGCAGTATCTCAGGTTGCTCACTTTGGAACCCTTCGCCACCACCGGGTCCCACAATAGCACTACTTGGGTCTTCGGCGAGGTAGTAGGTGGTTAGTAACCTGGCTTTAACCTGCTTATCACTCATAGCTTATACCTTAGGTGGCTGACCACTTACTAACTTGGCCGAACATCCAAGTAATTAGGGTATCCATATATAGCTCCAAGTAATGGAGAGACAGATACTTGGACCTACGTAGCTGTTTTGTCAAAGCCATTTGTGCATCGCAGGAACACTGCGAGGAGGAGTTGAGTCAAAAGGTGCAGCGATTGGATAGCCGCGCGACTGCACAGGAAAGTTGAGCAGAGAGCATGGCATGTGTGTGTGTGTGCGTGGTTTTCTCTGTCTCTCCTGAGTTTTTCGTGTTTTTCTCTCTGTCTCTCTGTATCTCTCTGTTCTCTCTCTCTCTCACTCTCTCTCTATCTCTCTCTCTCTCTCTCTCTCTTTGTGTCTCTGTGTCTATCTCTCTGTGTGTCTGTGTGTCTGCGTGTCTGTGTGTCTGTGTTTTGTTTGCTGGTGTGTCTGTGCCTCCGTGCTTTTTGTGTTTGTGTGTCTGTCTGGCTGCGTTTGCGTGTCTATGTGTCCGTGTCTGAGTGTCTGGTTGTTTGTTTCCTTTGTGTGTGTGTGCTGGTGTTCCAGAAAGGATACGCCTGCACGCTGTATGATTGGATGTAGCCTGCTCTTTTGAAAGCACATGCCTTGTGTTTGTTGCTTACTGTGGAATAGTCTCAGCAACCAACACTTCCACGCATCCGGAGGCACCCAACATAAATCGCCGTGGCACATTGCAAGCCCTGGATTTTCTTTGTTGATTGAAAGGCCATCCTTTGTTTCCAGCTTTGGTGGATTGGTGTTTTGATAGGTTGAACCCCCCCCCCCCCGGCCAATTTAGGTTTGTCTCACACTGGACCACCCAAAATGGAGTGGTTTTCCCATTGCTTTTCCTTTGACACCAACCTAAAAGGAGTTCCCCACAAGCAAACAAAACACGTTTGAGGTCCCCAAAATGGGTGGTATTCCCTCTGCTTTTCCTTTACAAGGGGTTCCCCACAAACAAACAACACATTTGAGGTGAGGGTCCTTCGGTAGACATGGGGCCATGGGGATTTTTGGAGCCTCTGAGCTGAGGCGACATCGATGTCAACAGAATGCCCATCAGCCTTTGCGCGCGGGCTGCGCGGCTTCTTGGAGCCCTGGCGGGGTGTGTCTTTTTGGGAGCATAGCTACTTGGGTGTTCGGAGGGGTGACTGGACTGGCGGTTTCCCATTGAAACTGGCCAAGCAAGTGGATTGTTGTTTTTCTTGTTTTTTTCTCTTTTTTTTTTATTATTTTTTTAAATCATGGTTTGCCTTTTCCCTTGTTTGTGGGATAAATAAGCAGCCCCTGGTAGTGCAGAAATCCTTTTCAAGCGAGGCAAGCCCTGACTGGATTTCCATTTCCTGGTGGTTTCCCATCAAAACGCCGGGCATGAAAAAGAGCACCCCCCAAAACGGACCCCATTTAAAAGGCTTGCTTGGCCAGCCTGTGGGGAACCACTTCGGCCAAGTCAGTACGTGGTGAGTAACCACGGCTTTAACCTGCTTACAACTGGCCCAACTCACTCATAGGTTATACCCCGGGTGGCCGACCACTCACTAGCTTGAGCAAGCATCCAAGTAGGTGTCCTTTTGATGGGCGAGTTTGGTTAGAAATGGATGCTAGGTCCCCCAGTAGCGCCCTCTTGCCCTTTTTGGGGGAGGGTTCCCCTAGACTACAGAACAATGGTTACCCTTATTCTATCCTCTCTACTGGAGGACCTCGAATGGATCGATTTCTTTGGGCAAATTACGAGCTCACCTGGAAGCAAAGCAAGTTCACAGGCGCTGATGGTCCTTCACTAGAGGCTCCCGGAGTAATTTGCCCAGATCTATTCCTGTTAATTGGAGTCAAACCTATTGCTTATGATGGGCGCGTTTTCGGGTGTCCGGCACGTTCGGGCACGTTTTGGGTAAATAACCACGCTCACAAATCAGGCTACCCTTACGTATTTGGTGGTTTGGATTGATAGTTTGGATTTGGTTTTGACTCCCTGGTTCTTGTAGAGGGTACATGGGAAACCACCTCAGAACACCACCAAACCACCGATTCGGCTCCAAACTGGGAGGAAGCTGAACTAAGGAGTGGAGAGCAACTTCTTCCTCCAAGTCGCACAAGAGACTTTCGAAGGCGAGAGAGTTCGTTTTGCCCCAGCGCTGGACTTGGTATGCGTGCCCCAATTTTAGCGCTTTGTCGCTTGACTGTCCCGAGGAAGGTCTCTCGAAAGGAGTCGCATCCAAACTTTGAATGCACGTCGCGTTTTGTGGGTGCCCTCTTTCAGCCTAGTGTCTTCGATGGAGTCCAAACGGACACCATAGCTGGGGTCTCTTGTAGGACAAACCCAGATGGTCATGGACTCAGGGGCGCACGGGCATTCATGCGAAAACGTGGCCATAGTTGTTTGGCACAGATAGGGACTGGGGTCCCTCGACAGAATGAGAATGGTTGAATGATGAGGCCAGCTTTTTTTTGGGCGGGGGGCCAGTCTCGACCTAATATGCGTGATCCAAGTCCGGCCAAAATTTCCAGTAGTCTTCGGTCAACGCAGGAAGGAGACTCGCGAAGCTTTCCCTGAACAACAGAGGGGGACTCCGACTTCCCCACACCCTGCATTCACTCCAGTTGAACTCCCTTCGGCTTGGAAGAGGGGTACTGTGAAACCCCAACCTTCGTCCAGCCAGTGGCTGGGCAGTTGCACCACAATCGGTGACTTCTGCCTTGCACCCGGACTCTCGCTATCTCACCTTTACAATCCTTCACCCAGATGCCCAGTGGTGTCCTTTTTTCCATTTTTTGTTTCGGAAGGGTTCCCCTTGAAAGTCCACCAAGGATTTTTGGCTTCGGCCGGGATGTTGAGCAATGTGGCGGAACCAACCAAAAAAGGACACCGGTTTTTCCCATGGAAACCCTCTGGGCAACTGAGTCGGGAGTTGAGTTCCGATGTGGCCTCAACCTGCGAAGTCGCGAAGTCAAGTTCCAACCAGACTGAGAGGCCGAAGCACCTTGAAGTACCATTTGGAGCCTGACCCTTCGATTGCCATGGTGCAGCTCTTGAGGAATGTCTGCAGCCAAACCTCAGTGGCTCAGCCGGACGATAGGAGTTCAGTGCCAGCTTATGTCGGACTGCTAGGTGAACCTGGCACTCTACGGGAGGAAGCTCCCTACTTGGAGCGATTGGAGGGGGGTTCCCCAAAAATTATTTGTTTGAAAAATAGTGCTTATCGCCCAAGCCGACCATCTAACCCTTGGGACTTCCCTTGGTCATTGTTGTTTGCAGGAGGGCAGGTGAGGCTGCAATTTGCCCAGGTGGGCGTTGCTCATAAAACACAGGTTGTTTCCTTCCATTTGCTTAGGGTGATTTTTTATTTTCCCCTGTTGGCTTTAAAGGGAATCTATCACTACTGGATGTTTATTTATTTATTTATTGTCAGGGGTCTCAACCAAATGGACGTTTTGTTCCGTTTTTGCCTTCAAAACCAAGAGAGACCCCCGCAGATGGGAGTGTGTTTCCCATTCTTATCCCGTGCCGGGCAGGTACCACCAGGACTGAGCTCCTGGGTCAGACATGGTCGCAAGAACTCTGGAGGGTTGGGCTTGGCGGTTCTTCCGAACAAAGGCAAAGTTTGGGGTGATAGTAGCTAGGTTTTGCAGTAGTGCCCTTTTACCGTTTCTTTTTTGGGGGAGGGTTCCCCTACTAAAATAGACTACAGAAAACAAAAGATCGGGTACCAACTTATTCTAGCCTCTCAAATCTGGAGGACCTAGGCAAAGTTTTAAACCATCAGTCCCCAGGAAAGATAGGTGCAGCCGCTAGATCGGTGGTTTGGAGCCGAATCGGTGGTTTGGCGGTAAGCGAGGGTGGTTTCTCATTTGCCCTCAAGAACCAGGGGTTCAAATCCAAACCACCAAGTAGTGGAGAGCTGATACCAATGTACCAAGGTCCCCCGAATTGGGAGATTCCGGTGATTTCCGGAGATGATTTGAACCCTTCCAATGTGCCTTTTGTCGCAAGACACTTCAGCTTGCTGGTACGGATCAACCCTTTCCGCAAGTCAGGCATTCATAGCAATGCTTCCTAAGGTCACCATGGCCATGAAGCGCAGATCGATTCTTGACTACGAGTCGCCCGTTGAAAAGATGGCGCCCAACAGGTTGGGGTGTCTTTCTCAGGGGAAGAGCCACTTTGTAGATATTGCAAGCAGTTGGGACAAAGGGGGGGGCGGTGTGGCTGGATGTGGTTGGAGGTCGACTTGCCATGTTTAGGGAATCTGCCGTAGGTTGATTTAGGAACGACCAGTTGCAAGTTCGAATTTGACACCTCTAAAAACCTAAGCCTTCCGCAATCTCAGTTTGCCCAATGTCTTCTTGTTGAACCCACCCAACATGGACTTGACGAGGGATTCTGGCTAACAGGGGATTAACACGAATTCGGGGCTAGGACGAAGCCAACGCCATTTTGGGGGCTTTTCTGTTGGACCGGCTAACCCCCGCTAACCCCCACCCCCCGAATTGAAGAAGTCCCTTCCCAGGATGCCTGCAACGCTCTCGCTGGAGCCGTGGGCTCATGCAATTCGTCAGCGGTCCTATGAGTGTTTCTTAAAATTGGGGATCTGTCCAGGTGGTTTCCTGTTGGTTTCCTGTTGGTTTCCTGTTGGTTTCCTGTTGGTTTCCTGTTGGTTTCCTGTTGGTTTCCTGTTGGTTTCCTGTTGCCTGCAAACTCATGCAAAAAGGGGTCCCCTATTTTGAGAAACCCCCATATCTCCCAGTTTGGGAATGGTGCAGCCACAAAGAATCAGCGCCAGCCCCTGTTTGCAAAGTAGTATGTTCCCTGGGCGATTCCTATTTACTCATGTTTCGAAGCATGTGAACATGAGTTTGCTTTGGGGCCCCTTGCGTAAAGTGGGCCAAAGAAAGCCTTGCACACAGTCGCACGGTTTTGTCGTGCACCACAGGACGGCTTGAGCGGTTTCGGTGGGACCTGAGCGGATTTGAACCCGCCCAACTTGGGTGGCGTATACTGTCAACCGTTACTCCATACCATTGCCTGAAGCCTTGCACAGAAAAATGAAAAAACACCTGTGGCTTGACCAACAGTGACTCACTCGCCGGTGAGTCCATCTTAGCTTTTGGCATTCGGTCAGAGAAACGAAGCCCAAAGCCGCAGCGACTGGAAAGCCGGCGTGAGCCCATGAAGATATGTCGGGATTCCGTCTTTGCAAAAACTACCGTCTTGGTGGCAAGCCCGGGCATCCGATTCCTTAGGTTGTTAGTTGGTTTTTTAGTTGGCGGTTCTATCCAGTTCCTTTGGTTTTTAGTTGTTTTTTTTGCTGGCGTGGTGGTAGTTTGGAAGTTTCCACTCAACCACCGCAAGTGTTTTCGTTTTTAGCCGGGGATCGAAGCGGAACAGAGCTCTCTGCCTTCAAATTGGAGTCCCCAACCTATGGGCACAGCATGGCAAGGGAATTCCCAGATCCATTTGTCAAAGTTTGACGCCACCGGAATGCGGCGGTTCCTCTTGACGTCCCTCTCGGTGGTTCAAAGCTTTGCTTTGGGCCTTTTGGCTTTCAAGTCTTGGTGCATGGTCATGGCCCCAGGAGGTGAATTCACCTTTTAGTCCCAGGTTCTTTGAGCAAGGCCCATTGAGCCCTTGAAATCAAGCAAAGGGTCCTTCACAGACTAGGTCCCCAGGATCGTGCCCATTTTTACCGTTCTTTTTTTTGGGGGAGGGTTGGTTCCCCTACTAAAAAAAGAAAGACTACAGAAAAAAAAAAAAAAAAAAAAAAAAAAACATCGGGTACCAACTTATTCTAACCTCAAACTACTGGAGGACCTAGCAGACACGTTTCGCTCCATCGGCTTCCTCGGGTTCCTCGGGTTCCTCGGGGCGAGGCTGGCGGGCAGAGCGCTGCAGCGGTGCCGGGAGCGGGTGGCGCGACGTCTCCGGCGCAAGGAGCTGCAGGTGAAGCAGGAGCCACTGGAAGCGAGGGGTTTTACTCGGTTTTACCCCAGTTGTCGAGGTGTCCCCTTCTTTCTTACTTTTTTTTGGAGGGGTTGGTGTCCCTTGAACCTCAACCAACGAGAAATATGTATTGTTTTTGGGGGGGAAGGGTGTCCCTTGAACCTCAACCAAAAAAGTTCGGCCAAGTTGGTCAGTTAGCAGCCATGGTTTTAGTCCCTATATCTAGGGACCGGGTGCCTGTCATCATGTTGGTGGGAAAAGGGAAAAGATGTTTGTTGTTCCCTTTTCCCAATCCACGAAGGTTGTCCTTGCTCATTTGAGGGCCGAAGGGAATACTGATCAACCCCCGCATTGGCTTGACACAACGTTTGTGTTGCAGCTTTTCCATCCCCGTCGCCATGAGCCTCAGTGGGAGATGTTCCAAATCCGCTTACTGCAAGGAAGTTTTGCTCGGATGGGTTGGGTGGGGCTCTTCGGATGGCGGGGGGGTAGGGGCATGGTTGTTTGCTTTTTGTTCTTGCTTTTTTTTTTTTTTTTTTTTTTTCGGTTGTCTTACGGTTGTTGGCATGTTTTCAGTTTTGTTGTTTGGTTCTGTTCTTTTTTAGGCGGTTGCCCCAAGGGTTGCAAAGGTTAGTTGTCGGTTTGTCGTTTATGGTTCACGCGGACAACCCTAGCTGGAAACATGGATGCTTGAACTCCCCCACAATTCCTTGCAAAGATCCATACAGGGTAGGAAGGCGGCCATTCCCATACCGAGACAATGCTTGGAAGACGACTGCCACGCCCAAGCAGGGTTGCTGTGCGAGTGTCGGGGCTTAAGATTATGTTATAGATGTCCCCCTGTTGGTTTAAAGGGAATCTATCAATACTGGAAATATTCCTTTTTTATTCCAGGGGACGAACAAGCAAATGGAGGGGAAGGTAAGAACAGCTGTGATTTGAGTCGCAGATATTTGAAAGAGAACCCACATTGGTCTGGATATTCTATCCCAGAAAGCTGGCAGCAACGGCAGCAAGCGAAGCCGTGGCTTGAAACAACCATCTGGTCGGAGGTCACAAGACTGGGTCCAAGGGTCCGATGATTTGTGGTTAATGCTATTGTCGGACGAATAAACCCTGTATCCCCAGAAGGCCAAACCTCGGAGTGGACGGGTGGGGGAGCAGGTCGGGGGAAGGTGTGTAGGTGGCTGTGTGGGGATGAGGTAAAGCTGTACCCTCCTACCAATTAACATGGACCCCACCGGAGGGTCCCTTAACAAGGAAAATGGTTTAATTGGGCTGGAGTGTTGTTTCGGCTGATGTGTTGTGCGGGAGAACCGGTTCTGCCGAACGTGCCGTACCATCTCGGGGTGCTCGGGGCCCGCGTCAAAGGTTAGAACTGCTGCCCGCATCAAAGGAAGAATCGGTGGTATTTGCTACAACTCATCCCAGTAAATCCATTTTCCCGCATACTAGGTAACCAAGAACTTGCCACCCTTTAAACACCAACAGAGAAAGAAACGAAAAGCAAAATAAAGAACCACAGCTGGTTTAATTACCTACGATCGATGGGTTAGCCTGGGATCCACTCATGCTAACCTCGAAGTGTTTACCTACTACTTCGATGGGTTTTGCCTCTGGACCCTGGAAAACCTCGGTGGGTATGGCTCAAAATTAAAGAGCCAGGGCCAAACGCAGGTTTTAGGCTTGGGTTCCATTTCCCTTTTGGTGCCATATTCATGGTTGTCGTTGGGACACATTTCTTACCATGTTTGCCTATTGCGGTTGAGTGGTTGAAATCCAACCACTTATCTGCTACAATTTTGCTTGTTGCTCCCCAAGCCCAAGGTCAACCAAGCAACCGCCAAGATTTGCCGTTCGGGACTTTCATCCAACTTGGGTCCCCTTGGGCCATTCATGGAATAAACATCGCCAAGTATTGGTACCTACGTTCTTTGAGCAGCCAACGCTACGCGGCTCGCCGCCTCGGCTCGCCAGGAGCTGTACCTCACCGAGGCCAAAGTCATGAGCTCCAGGCCGAGCCGCGGGGACTCGGGCGAGCCGAAGGTTTTGGGAGGCTGCAGGTGTTTTTTGGTTTTTGGCCGAAATGAAGCAACCAGGTTATAGCAATAGGGTGGGGTTTTTGGCCCCCAACCAAAAGTGGAACCAGTTTATTGTGATTATTTTTGTTTGGCCCCTCCAAAAGTGGTCTGATTCCTCACTACACCCTGAAATGACTGGGGTTGGGGTTTATTGGGGGTTCAAGGATACCCCATGGTGAGAAGCCATGCATGTTCAATGATTCAAGGAGAGACGATATCAGACCCGGGTCCCTGCTTTGCAGAAAGGTTCGATGAGAAAACCTTCTCAGAAGGTGTCTGCAGAACCTGTCCTGGTTCCCTCTAACAGACCTTGCTTGGGTTTATATACTAGAGCTGCTTAACCGCAGAATATGGAAGAATAGACTACAGTTCAAATTGTAAGGATTCTCCTCAAACGTGACAAGAGTTTCGAAGGCGGAAATGTGTCCAGCACAGTTGTTGGACCTCCCGTTTCAGTTTCCCAAACAGGAACTGGTTGATGCCATTGGAAGGCCTCCTCAAAGGGATCCTTGGGCCAGCCACGGCCAGCTTTCCCAGGTTTTGTTGGATTACCGGTTCTCTTGGCCGGCCCGCCCAAACAGCTCAAAAACATGTTCTGGCCAGTCCGGTGAGGAATGGGGTTGGAGTACGGCGAAAGGCTCCCACAAGGTGCTACGTAGCAATCAAGCAGAGTGGAGCTGAGATGTGAACTGATGGAAGCCATGTTAGACAGATGCTCGTATCATCCGAGCAAGCAGACTCTTCCCACAGTTTCAGTCATTCCTGGGGCTCAGTCTCAAACTTTACCAGGAAAATCACCTTAATGCCCCCCCAAAAGACAAAACATAAACATAAAAAGCTCAAGGATTCTGGTTTCCCCCCTCAAAAGCAAAATTTAAAATGCAGAAGGATCCCGGTTGCTCCCCCCCCCCTCCCCCTCGCCCCCCCCCTTCCCATGATCCGAATCTTCACTCCGCGCCTGCGCCGCATCCGCCGAATTTTTCCCCCCAGGTGGCCTCCCATGGCCCGCGCTATAGACGGGGAATTTCTCTCCTTTTGGGTCGTGGACCCATGGGTTGGCACCCGATTCATCCCCGAATGGAAAGGACGGAGACCCAAAAACGTCCCCCAGATTCCTCTGGCGGTTTTCTATTGTGAGCTTTCGAGCCATACCCTTTTTGGACCTGATTTTGAAACGGTAAGCGCCGATTGCATGCGCCAGGACGGCCCCGTGGTTGCACGAATCACCTTTTGGTTGCCACATGTTTCTGCGGTGGCGGGAATGGCGTGGGGGAATGTAAGCAACGGAGGTAGTGTCCCTAGACCCACAAAAAGCAAAGCGGTTTTGAGGCGACGTTTCACCTGGACTTCATATTTTGCAAATCACTCCCATGTTTTGTTTTCTTTCTCGAGATCGTGCTGGTCCTTCTGTATTTATTCGCTCCAGCCAAGCGACGGACATGTCCCTGGCGATCAAGGATTCAGCTCTCGAAGGAGAAGTCACCCGGGAAGCTTGGAATGATGTGCAGGTTTCCCTTCACCAAGAGCCAATCAGCACCTGGGGTCCGTTTCACAAGTCCAGGTCTCAGTGCCCAGCCGTCGGGTTCCTTAGGTTTTCCAGTTTTTAGGGGACCAGAAAGGAAAAACGAAAGAACAAAAACAGCCCAGTGGAAACTCTTCTTGCTAGGGAATGACCACGAGTCCCGGTGTTGGAATGAACCGGGTTCTGGGATCCGCAAGGAAACAAATTGGGGATGGTTTATCTTGCATTCCATTTCTCAGGGACCCTGATCGCCGCTATCGCCTATCGAACCAGCAAGACTATCTTTGTTGCAACCCTTTCATGGCATGACGTACTGGGGAAAAACCACGGAAACAAGATGATATTTCAGCCATGAACAGGCCACCAAATCATTGAACTCCCCGTGGTCAAGCCGTCGGCAAGCCTTTGTTGGCAACACCAAAGCCATCGACGGAGGCCCAAGCTGCTGGAGCTTCACCTCCGCTTCCAAGCCTACTGCGAGCCCGAGAAGACTGATCCATCGATCGATCGATTCGAGCCATGGATCGATGGATCGATGGATCGATGGCAAAAGCGGGTCGTTGCGTTTCAAGCATATTCCTCAAACATATCAAGGAAAGCAACAACCCGCTTCACGTTTTCCTGCGGCCACAACGACCCAAGGCCTTATTAAGACCTTATATTGGAGGAAACCAGCTTGGGAAGGTCGGGGTGAAGGGGGGGGGGGTTGGATTCCATCTGCCAAGCTGTGCAGAAATGCCAACACCTGAAATAAGGAGGGGCTCCCCAAGCAAAGGACCTGAATCATAGCAAGCTCGTTACCCCCAGGCGAGCTTACCATAAGATGGGCAGAACCATGCCCAGCTTGTTCAACGGTCAGGTAGAGACAACAGGAGTTGGCTGACAGAGATTCGCCCTGAAATGATGGGACCCTTGTTTCAAGCCAAGTTTTCAACCATGAGGTTGTCTCATGCCATTCAAGTATACGGTCAGCTTCCCTTTTGGTTTGGTTGAGTAGGGGTCTCGCAGTAAAACCCACCACAAAAGCCAGGGATTCAACTCCCCAAACAAATCCAACCCACCCGGTAGGCCTTGATGCTTCAAATCGCTCCACTTAGAACTCAGCAGGTTCTCTCAAAACGAAGGGGGTGTTCCCCTTCACATGGCTCAGGGGTCCCGAGATATTTCCCTTTTTGGTGGTTTTAAACCATCACCTTTTTGGCCGATGAAAGATAAGTGTCCCTTGGTGGGGGTGATGTTTGATGGGGAAATATAGGGAGCCCTGAGGCTTCTTGGTTCCTTTTCGCTTCCCCTTTGAAACACCAGGGGTTCAAAGCCTACTTCGCCCTACATCAAATCTTTGACACCCCGAAGGCAATGTTTAATAGACACCTAGAGCGAAGGGCGCCCTAGGATGTTAAGCATCGTTGCTGGTTGGCATAATCAGGTCGCAACCATGCACAGTATGCTCAATCCTACAAGTATAAACTCAATCATCAGTTCTGGGCGATTGTCCTGTTTGTGTTTTTTTGTTTACAGGGAAATTGTGGAAACCACCTTTAAAGCAATCATTTCTGGGTTGTCCTGTTTGTGATTCTCATAAATTGCGGAGATTGTGGGAGGCACCTTTAAAGCAATGGCCAGACCTGGTGCTCCTTGTTTGGTCGAGACCCGCTTTTCCGTTCGCAGGACAGAGGGCTTGAAGGTGATGTCTGAGGACCTGGAGAGAGACGGAGAAAATCTGCGAGTTGGTGGGTGGCTTCTCGCTTTTTGTTTCTTCTTTGATTGATGGTTTCATCCATACCAACCTGGTGGCTGATTTTATCAATTGTATTTTCTTTCAGTGGTTTCATCTATACCAACTGGGTGGTGTTTTGTCACTTTTTGTTGTTTAATGGTTTCATCAGGTTCATCCATACCAACTGCTGCAGGATTTTGTACCTTTGTTGGAAAGCATTCTGAACCGAACATGCATGTTTGTGGGGGACACGCGCACCATCTCAGGATGTTGGTTTGCCTCGTTCAGTTCATAGGTGCAGCCGTGCCCGCCAAAGGAAGGGAAGTGGCCGGACTGGCTGCAAGGTTGTACTTGTTTGTTGGTGTCGCAAGGCTCAAACTTCTAGGGGTACCTTCCATTTCCATTCTTTCCAGGGATCCGAATCTTTTCAGGAAACCATCAAAAACCTAGGGGAAACTGCCGGTTTTTGAAAAGAACGATGGCTGAAAAGAATGGAAAAGGAATCAACCCCTAGAAAACCGGTTCGACTCAACGATTCCAAGGTGTCCTACTTGATTGTGCCTCGACCGCGTCGGGGCTCGCAGGTGATTTCACCATGATTGTCAGTGATGACAACCCTTGAGTATTAATGCCACTGTGGGTGGACAAAATCCTGCACCACCTCAGAGACCCTGGATTGATTATTCTGTAAATACCGACGTTTTTGTTTTTTTTGGGTGTCAAAGTGGCGCAGGATTTCGTCCATCCACAGCATGTTGACATCACCTACTCAAGCAGCAACTAGGTTCAACATCCTAGGGCGCCCCTCGCCCTAGCTGTCTGTCAAACATTGCCTTCGGGGTGCCAAAGGTTTGAAGAGTCTGTGTTCGGGGTACAGAAGGTTGTGTATGCGGGACAAGTAGGGGAACCCCTGGTTGGGTTTCAAAGGGGAGGCAAAAGGAACCAAGAAGCCAACAAAATTCTTATTTCAGGTGTTGGCATTTCTGCACAGCTTGGCAGATGGAATCCAACCCGCCCCCCCTTCACCCCGACCTTCCCAGGTCTCAATAAGGCGTGGTCGTTGCCGCAGGAAAGCGTGAAGCGGCTGCTGAAGGAGATGGGCAAGCTGCCCAGCAGCCAGGCGCGCGGAACGCGCGGAACGCGACGCTTACGGTGCCCTTCAGTTGGCTTAAAGGAAAACCTCCAGTTTTGGGGGCTCCAAATCCCTACGCGTATCAGTGACCTATATGGAGAAAATGCTGCAGGAGGTGGCCCATCCACAGCATTTCTCTCTCTTGTCTCCCTTTCTACCTTTGCAGCTTGCAAGAATGGTGCTCCTCGTTCTCGCTTTGCTTGCTTCACTTGCCTCTTTAGTTGGTAGGAAATAATGATTTGTTGCAGGTGGTTGTTGTATGTGATTGTTCATCCCACGAAAAGTTTAAGCCTTTCTGACCAGTCAAGTGGCCATCCAGGTCAGCCACCCTCCGAGCAATGTCGCTAGTTTGACTCGGGGTAATGCTGAAGGTTTGAAGATGGGATGGGTGTGTCCTTTTAGGGGACCGCCAAAATGGTACGTGTTGTGTTTTCGTTTTTTTCTCCGAAAAGCCTGATTCTGGCAAGCAAAACCTTTTTGTTTCTCGAAGTTGGGCAAGTGACAAAAAAAAAACAACGCAATCGTGTTCCGTACAAACACCGCAAACACCCGACTGCAAAAAGACAATCTCGCAAAGCCGGCGTTTTTCAGGCTGCCTTCCTCCCCCCAAGACAGTGAGTAACCCCAAGCGACCATCGCTCTGAAGAACTTTTGCGCTGCGTGCCTCAATGCAAGTTGAGTTGTCAATGGTTGAGGAGGATTCTTGTGAAAGTCTCATATGGCTGTGGGTCAAAACCCTGTACCCCTAGTGAACATCAAAATAGCTGGCAAATGGATGTTCATCCACCCCAAAAAAAGCCATAGGTTGTGCAACCCATGGCCATATGCCTCAGGCCTTTTGAGAAGGTGTCAGAGCTGACCCTTTGGACGGCTGGAAAGGAGACTCACACGGAGCCCATGAGGGCTCGGAGTTTTGACACATCTATCGGGGTCTTATCGCCATGTTCAATGGGTCTGGACAAAAAGGACATTCGAGGGTTTGCATGTAGTTTGTATACTGGTTGACACCATTGGTGGCGGGGGAGTCCGGCTTTCTAAGGTCTGCCATTGCCAGCTTTCTTAAGGTCTATCTGGGTTTGTCGATTTTTGAGTTGGTACCCTGGAGGGGTGGGGAAAAAAGGGAAACCCAAGGACAACCGTTGCGCCGGTGCCCAATGTTAAGACGAGCCACCCAGGTTGCTTAGAGCTTTGCAGGGATCAGCATAGACTTCAACCTCGATAGCTCGTCTTAACATTGGGCACTCCTTGGTCGCCGGCGCAACGGTTGTCCTTGGGTTTCCCTTTTTTCCCCACCCCTCCAGGGTACCAACTCAAAAATCGACAAACCCACACGTGTTTGAGGAGTCTAGGCAGGCTCCCTTCAACCCACTAAGAGTTACACTTTTAGCAGGGTTTTGATGATCGCCCAGACCAGAGCTGTCGCTTTCTACGAACGATTTTGATAAGGGCCATAGAAAGTGATATTGATTGTACAAACATGTTATGCCTGGTTTACTTATACCAGTAGAGCCGGCGAAGCTGGTGGGCGGAAGTTTCAAGAACATGAGAACTATACTTATCTCTCTCTCCCTCTCTCAGCGCTTTCCGTCTTTTCTCCCTTTTTCACTTTCTCCTGTTCTCTTTCTCTCCTTTTTGAGGCGGCTCACCTCAGCCGGCGGCCCACTGTAGTCCACGCATCCCGGCTTGGTCTGCGCGGACTTTAGTTCACTCCCTCAGACGAACAGCTAGAAGCTCGCAGAAGGCCGATCCTGTACATGGGTTACCAAATCTGCCAAAGGGGTCCTGGGAGCTTCCGTGTTAGCCTGGGGGAGGGTAAAGAGCTGTCCCGTGCGCTTGGCTGGGGTAGAGGTTCTGGAACCATGTTGTCTCGCACACATGGAGCGACGTGCGTCTGGATGCTTGCTGTGACGTAGAAAATGACCGAAGGCTGGGTTGAGCTGTTGGTTGCTTCGAATGACAATGAAGCGAACCCAATAAGGCATTCATTGTACCACGTTGGACCCGTTGATATTTGGCATATGGGCAGAATTCAGTGGAGCTCCTTCCCCCATGTTATTTGGGTATGTCGGTTCTTGAGGGAACCCTGTGGCAACTCTTTGACAGTTCTCCCACTTCCCAGTTGCGGCAGCTTTTTTTTTGGTGGTCGCCCAGAAACGGTCAACCAAGCTGAATGCGTTTTTTTCTACAATTGGATCACTGGTTGCAAAAGGGATTTCGCAACTGGCAACTTTCGAGATGCTTGTTTCCCCCCCCCCCCCCCCATTTTTTTCGTTGGATCCAAGACGGTTCCCCCCCTGCCCGGCCACACCACTACCTTGCAGGGGAAAACCCTGGGAAAGGGTTTGCATATATCCTCCATGACCAGAACGGTGGTATATCCAATCCGTTCGCCAGGGGCCAGACCTCGGCGCGTTCCTGCAGTCAGACATCAACATCGTGGGGCCGAGGTCCGATGTCCGACTCTCCCACGAATCTTGACCCCCGATGAGTCACCCGGGCTCTGGCCCATGCGGGTTTCAAAAAAGCCACCAAGAGGGGGGCCGGGCGCTCTTTTGTTTGATCTGGGAATGTTTTGTGGCCCATGCAGGTGTCAAAAAAGCCACCAAAAGGGGGAGTTCCCCCAAAAGTGAAGAATCGGCCGACCGTTCATCGACCAGGGCGTTGTCAATCTGCTTTTCTCGAAAAGTCCAGGAGCCGACAGGGATCCAAACAGATTGAAGGTCCCATCAAAACAGGACACCAAACGGATGCGTACCAATACGAGGTTCAGCTATCAACATTTGTTGAACCAACCAGACGCTGTCCCCCTAAGGGAAACCAAAAGGAGACTGTAAACAATCCTGGACCTTCCCTAATTATATACATTTGTGTCACGAGAAGCCGCCGCAACAGCCAAACATGCTTGAATCCAGATTTGCGCTGGTTCCCCAGGAAAACGCGCGAGTGGCTACGAGCTTAGCTTCCTCCAACTCAAGCTGAGTTTCCTTTTGAAGGGACCGGGCCCATGTCTGTCAGTTGCCATGTGGGAAGGAGGCAAATGGTTCGAAGTGGTCGGCCACCCAGCCGAGGCAATTTACATTTGGACTGCCGTCCTGAAGTCAACACACTGGGATGGAGATTTCCCCTCGGTGGCTGGGCTAAGCGGGTTTCCCCAAGCCAATGGGTGGAATGGTGGTGACCACCTGGTGGTGCATTTGCCCACAAAATGGGTGTTGGTTTTGGTTTGGGAGTCCTTTTAAAGCCGCCAAAAAAATGAGCGTGTCTCGTTGGAACACGGCTAAAACTGGTACCTCCGAAAAAGACAGACCCTGGGTGTTGCAAATGGCGTCCCTTCACTTTCAATTTCCCTTTAGGCCAAGCCCAAAAAAGGTACCAACTTACAGAAGACCCCTGGTTGCCTCTAGACCACGCACAAAAAAGCACTCGCAATTCACCTGAAACGCCGCTGGCTTCACTTAGGCCAAACTCCAAAATGGTTAGAGCCGCCCACGAGACGGGGCTCCGGGTTTTTGGGTGAGGTCCGTCCCTAAATGGGTAGCATCCAAAATGGGAGCCGAGAATTTTCTGGGTTTCGGGTTTTGAGGGACGGGTCCCTCCTGGCAGTTTTTTGGCAGGTTCACCTTCGCGCGGCTCTGGCGGCTGCTGGAGGAGCAGCGCAAGGCTGCACTCAGCTGGGTGCAGGAGGACGTGGGTGGATCGGATGGGTGATGCGGATGGGGGTCGTCTCGTTTGGGGTGGGGCGGGGTGGGGCGGGGCGGGGCGGGGCGGGGCGGGGCGGGGTGGGGTGGAGTGGGGGGGTGGCCCCCATATTCACGTTTTGGACTTCGAACTAAGCAGCAAGCATGCCAATCAGAAGTTGCCCAGCGAAGCGCACGGATATTCTCAGGAGACGTGCAGATTGTTTACCCAGGCCCTCAAACAGCCGGGTTTTGAGACCCCCAAACACCTCCGGGGTGTCTAATGCAGGGGTCGGGTCTTCCATTGAAAGCCCAGGAGCCTCTGGGTATGAGCTTTTCCACAGTCGGGATTGGTTCGGCAGTGTTTCAGGCCTCAGGCAACAATCCCACGAAGAAGCACCCCGTGGTCTCCCGTCAAAACGAAAGCCCGGGAATCCCGAATGGAATGAGTGAGACAAGACAGCATCCTCTTTTTTGAGGGTGCCTTGCTGTGTTTGTGGTTTTAAATGGAAACCAACTTGAAAACCACCATTTCTGGGGTCCCCCGAAAAAGACGCACCCATATTTTTGGGTGTGGGGGGTCCTGTTTTTGAGGTCTTTTGGTTAGCGCTCTCGCCCCGAAGACTCCTTTGGTACGACCGATTTGTTTTTCGGCACGAGCCTAAGGACTTAGACTCCAGCCACCGGGCTCCATCTTCTAGGTCCCCCAGCAATTGCCTTCCTCACCGGTTTCTTTTTTGGTTGGGAGATTCGGTTCCCCTACTAAGATAGACAGAAAAGAGTTGGTACCATTCTAGCCTCAAACTACTGGAGGACCCAGTCTTGGTCCATCCCATGAGTGAGCCCTCAGCTGGCTCAAACAAGCCGACTATTCTTGGGGTCCTGAAGTTTGCGTCGCACCTGCAAGGCTGGATCCCTCAACGTGGATCATTGCCTGGAAAAGCGGGTTCTTCGGTTGTGTCTTGTTCACCGTCGTACGGGTTCAAAAACGGCATAGGTTTCTTGTCAATCAAGCAAAAGGTGGATTGTCTTTGCACCCTGAGAAGGGCAATGTCTGAGTCACGCCGTGCACGTCTCGCTGCGTTGCGGCTCGAGCTGCGCCCGTATCGAAATGTCTCCAAGTTACGGTCAGGTTGCATCACATTAACTCGGTTTTACCTTTCCTTCGCCATAGACAATTGTTTCCGTACTTGGCCTCATGGAGATAGTGAGGCCTATGTAAACCTTCATCACTGTCTTGGTAGCAGCAACCGCCCAAGTGTGGGCAGGTATGAATGCTGCCCAAGTGTCCAGCAATGCGGTAGGCACTTGAGGACCAACAATTTGCTCTGTTTTGAGTTACATGTTAGAGTCGCGTTTTGCGCAAGGCAGAACATAAATTCCCCACTGTGGATGGACGAACTCCATTTCCCCACTGTTCAAAAACTCTTGAAGGATTCGATTCCCCTGTAAATACCAACACAGTGGTGTCAACCGTGGTTTCAAAGTGGTGCAAAGAGATTTCGTCCATCCACAGCAGCACTAACATGGGTGATGGAAGAACCTCAACTTTGTGTGAAACGAAACACAACACTCTTCACTTTCAGAACACCGCGCTGCATTAGACAAAATCCCAGCCTCTAGTTTCTTCTCAGTTTGGTGTGTTCCCCTGTAAACATAGAATCTATCCCAAAACGAGGTCCCTTTTCTATGGGCCGCCATCTAAGGAGTTGACCCCTTTTCATCCTGAAAAGCTCATCATGAAAGGATACCTGGACCCCTTGATTTTCATAAGAAAGGGCATAGGAGCCATTCCTCCGATTCGATTCGGCGATGGAAAGTGAGGGGCCCGAGCCCGATCGCAAGGACGGGCTCCACGCGGCACAGGGTTTGTGTGTGGATAGCTTATTCCAACAATAGAAGCGGACAGGAGGGGTTTCTACGACTAGTCACTACTACCCTCTTACAAGGACCCCCTTGTTCGACTTCCACGATTGTCGGGAAAAGGGCATGTCATGGTGTGATAGGTATGTTGTCTTTTGAGGGTCCCCTGTTGGGCTGGTTTTGAACAGAAGTCGAACGGGAAGGTACGGGTCACCCAGCTCGGAAATACACTCACTCCCGTCTCTTTTCAATAGATTTGGCGCTTATTTCCAATTGGGCGATGCGCCAAAGCTGAGCTGACCCTCGGAACACTGTACTTGGATGTTCAACCAAAGCCACCGTTTGTGATACGGTACGACCATTGTCACACTATGTCAATCCAAGGTGCATTGCTAGTGTTCCATTTTACCTCCCCGGTTTGAAAGGAGTTTTAGACAGACGTTCAATCATTCCCCTCCCAGCATGGTTTGGTATATGGGAACCCTCCAGAATTGGCCTGTGCACCAAGCCATGTTTGCTGGAGGGAGGGTAGTCCATTGGCGGCCCCTGCCGCCTCTCAACAACGGGCAATGGGTGAGGACAGGGCCCAATGTTCAATGTGTGTTTGTATAGTGGAAGCAGGAGCATTACGGACAAGAAAGGAGGATTAGGTTTCCGCCTTCCGTGATGCCAGAAGAATCCCTTTTGAAGAGAGTCGTAGAGATTGGAATCCCATTTCGGTATTGCAGAGACTGTTGGTGTATTTGTTGCGCACTCTGGTCCAACCACCAACCATTTAGGAGAGTCACCAGAGCAAAAGCTGTTGAGACCCAAACTCATCGTGTCAGGCTGGTCCCTCCAGCATCCTCAACGGGAGAAGCGCCATTCGAGGTCAGTGGACCTTTTAAGCTTCGGCAAGGGAGGTTTGGGGCAAGTGCCATTGCCCTTGGTTTAAAAAGGGAATCTATCACTGCTGGATTGTTGTTTTTTGCACTGGAAGTGTGTGTTGTTGTTGTTTTTTCAGTGGACTTAAGCCAATGGAAGTACGAAAACGAATGACTTGCTCGTCCGGTTGTTCGGCTCCGCATTCCCAGTTTTCACGGGAGGAATTCATCGTGCTGGTGTACACCATCCTGGCGGCCCTGCTAGCGTCGACCGGTTTGGCAGTTGGCATCACGAAGCAGCGCCTTGCCAGACTGGACCTTCTTCGCCCTGCCCAAAGCCACTGGGTTGATTGATTGCGCTGCCTCTAACATCCAACGCCTGCAGAGACTTAACATGCATTCAACATCGATCCGCATGTTAAAAGGATAGCTTAAGCTAAATCAAAAGAGATCTTATTTGTAGAGGCGTTGGATGTTAGAGGTAATGTTGACCCCGGATTGCTTAACCCCTGTGGATTCATATGGGGGGTGTCTCTGGTTTTAGTGGGGATTGGGCGCTGTTGGAGGGGAGCACCCCCATATTCAGAAACAGGGGTTTATTACTCCAGGGTCAACATGAACCAGAAAGACGGCAGTTTCCCTTTCAACCACCAGGCGGGATCGATCCGTCGATCAGCCCAGTTTGCTGCGAGTCATGCCCCTTGGAACGCGAACGAGAGAAACGGCGTTTTGTGACCCGGTGACAGAACAGGTGCCCAAACAGGTCTTGAGAATTCCGCAAAAAAGGCTTGCCTTGCTCTCAATGCAAGTGTTGTGTCATTGTTTCTTGGTTTGCATGATGGTTTCTTCTTTGAAGCCATGGACCCCAAAGGTTCACCGCTGTCCCCGTTAGGATCCCTATCTTAAGCAACGGAGGCCTAGACACCTTTCTATTGTTTAGTGGGGACTCGGAGTCTTTGGTCGCAGGGCGCTTGCTGTTCGCTTTCTGAGGTGCTTGCTCTTGGCGCCCTTGAGCGCACGGAGCAAGCCGCGAGCTGAGGAGGCAGTTTTTTGCTTCGAAACGTGCCGGGGTTCGCAGGGCTGCCCGGTGGTTCGAAAACCTCGTACCCAGACCTTGGAAATTCCTGCAACAGCTCTGTGTTGGGGGGAAAGCTTTGAAACCAAGCGCCAAAAGATTTATTTAGGAGCCACTGGAGGTCTCGATGGTTCTTTCCGAAGCCAAACTCCGGCAAACGAAGCATCCATGATCCAGGTCAGTAGTTGTCCCACTCTCGTTTTTTCAGGGTGGCCATGGGTTCACTCGTCCCTGCTGACTATACGGAAATGAAAGCACAAAACAAAACGCAGGTTTTAGTCCATGTTTCCATTTACCAGGCAACCCATTTTGGGTATACCTGGAGTCTACATGACCCTGTAAAAATGGGTCCATGACCCCATTATTTTGGGTAATGACCCCATTTTTCAAGGGTCATGGAGACTCCAGTTACCTTTTTTGGTTGCCTCGTACGCCAAACGCGTCGTCCACTTGACAGACAGCGGCCCGACTTGTTGCCGCTGCGCTAGGATGCAGCCTGCCGCATTTGCCATGAGCAAGGAGAGCTGGAGGTCTTCTGTGACTGCAAAGGCGCTGGCAAAACAATGCAACCAATAAACAAACTTTACCCCACCCCCCCAAAAAAAAGCAAAACCAAACAGCAAAATTACAGCAGAGCCAACAAGCAGGTTGCTCGGTGAATATGGGTACAACCCTGGGGATCTATCCTGAATGGCACCGTTGTTGTTTGTTTTATGATATGTGATTAGCCATGGTTCATATCATCATCAGGGACGTCGCGTTAGTGACCGACCTGTGGTGTTTTGGCTCAAGATTTTGGGTTCCGTCGCGCCTCGAATGGGCGTCGCCGAACCCCTGCGTCGACCGACGGCATCTCGGGGGAGATAGAGACCTCGGGCCGCCGCCAGGTTGGTAGGGACCAGTCGTGCGGCCTGTTGTCGACCAAGGTTGCGGGTTAACCCTTTTCTTGTTTGGTTTGTTTCCTTTTGGTTGTTGTTCTCTGGTGTGTGGGAAACCCTGATCTTTGGGACCGGGGATTGGTTTGCTTTTGGGGAACCTTTCTTTTGTGGCTTGTTTACCCCAACTTACCCATTGCCTGGGCACAGGCTCGTGCCCGAATCACAGGTTATCAGCCGTAGGACTTTCCTACGCGCTTGAGACCATCAACTACAAGCTCTATGTCGACCCCACGATCTCGAAGGAGCGTCGTGGATGAGGAGGCCATCCTAGGTGGCCTCCGCTCAGGTGAGGACCTACCGGACTATGACTACGAGGATTTCGAAGCAGGTTCGACAGGTCAGGACCGCAGGGGTGAAGATCCCGGTAGGGATACACCCAGGGGCCGTGGCAGGTACGCCGACGATGGAGACGATCGTATTTTCCGCCAGGCCACTGATGACGAGCAGACACGAAGGGTTTACTCCGATAGGAGTGGCTCTGAATCAGGTCACAGGCGTGGACATTTTGACTTCATCAGCATGGCGATGGACATGGCCCGCCCGGAGGCCATGCCGGTTCGACCTCCGAGATCTCTTGTTCCAGGTGAGTCGCAGGTCTCGGATGAGTTTGAGAATAGGCCGCAGGGACCAGGGACTATGGTTCTGGCTCCGGGAGGCATCCCGGGCCGATCCACTGGTTCTCAGAATCCAGGTCAGTTTGATGAGCACGAGGAGCGGAAATTCACGGACTTCGGATACGATGATCTGTTGAAATCAACCGCAGGTTGGGGCAGTAGCTCAAAGCAGGGATCTGATGCCGGTAGGCCCAACCCTAATACTGCCAAATCTGAGTCTTATGATGGCGAAGGTTACAATTTTGCGGATGAGGAGGAGAGCCATTCGCGCCGAAATGCAGGCAGCCGTGCGACTGCAAGGACTAGTCCCGCCGCTGCCAAGTTTGAGGTCGATGATGATGACGAGTATGCCGCATTTGCGGATCGCCGTGATGAGGAGGAGGACCAACCACGACGAAATGCTAGGATCCGTGATGCTGCGAGGCCCAGGAGCCTCTCTCGTGGAGCCGCCAGGGACCTTCGCGTTGACAGGGATGCCCGAAGCGAGAGAGAGAGAGCCAGGGACAGTCGGGAAGTTCTTCGGGGATTGGAGGCCATCCATGACCGTGAGGGACCGGTAGGTCCCCCGGCGATTGGTGATACCCCGAATGTTCCCCCTTTTCCCAACATTACGTTTGGGGGTCCGTTAGATCAGAGAGACGTGAACTCGAACCGGGTTACTGGTTCGCCGAGAGTCACTGAGCGGGTTGCCGATGTCGTTGGGAGAGGTGCAAGAGATGGCCGGCTTGCCGATGCACTCGGAATCGAGGATCGTCCGTCGATCGCTAGCCCGTTAGGGCGAGATACCAGTGACCTTGAAACGCTAAGGTCCAGCAACGAGTTCACACCTCATGGGGCTCGACCGCCAGGGAACGTAGTGCTTCTGCGAAGAGACCGTCACCCCTGGCCATTGAGACCGATAGGTCGAAGGCGAGGAGGGCTAGCCCCTCACCAATGGACTCAACTCCGCAGGATGAGGAGATGCCTGATCCTGCTGATGTTCACATCCACTCTACTCCCGAGTCTCGTGCGTCCCATGTTGATCCCCGTTCCGGCGATAGCCGTAGAAGGGGTTCTACCCCTAGCAGGCCATCTGGGGTTGGTGATAGTCCTGTGGATGACCCCAGAAGATATGCTAGAGCTAGTGGGGCTCCTGAGAGGATCGAGATATCGACTCCTCCAGCACTCAGGTCTCATTCTTCCGGTGAATCAGGTGACGCTAGGGCAAAGGAGGTGTTCGATTTGCACATCCAGGAGATGCTCGAGAGAGGTGAGGTTTCTGGCTCAGTCGCGAAAGCGTTCCATATTTTTGCTGACCAGATCAGGTTACTGAACGGTCAAGTGAGTTCCATGAGAAGGGAATGGAGCGACGAGAATCAACAGACGAAGTACAAGGTCGATCGACTGGCAGCTGAGGTTGCGACTCAATCTGATGCCGGGAGGATGCGAATGATAGTTCAACGGTTCGCAAGGGAAGTTATTCCCGATAGCAGGGCCATTGTGAGGCAAGCCATCGATGAGCAAGCCGAGGTCGTGGAGCAGAGGATTAACCTACTGTCCCACGAGGTCCATGAATCTGTCAAGGACAATGAGGCATCGACTGATCGGCTTCGCCTGATGATTCAGGAGAATAGTGAGGCTGCCCGCAGAAGCCATGCTGCTTCTGAGGACGAGATCCTTAAGGATTTGGACAAGCTTGAGAAACGGATGTTCTCGGTAGAGAAAACCGTTGGGATGCGGACACCAGCAGGTGTATGGAACCCGAATCCTGTCGCGCATCCGTCCGATAGGGCCAGCGGCAGTGTAGTGGATGCAAATTTCAGGGAGTTAAACCTGAAGATCGAGAAAGCTCTCCTTGAACACGAGACATTTGCCAAGTGGGCCTCTGAATCTATTGAAGGGATCAAAGAAGAGCACACTCGTCTTGTTAATCGAGTGTCGAGACTGCAGAGTGGAAGGGGTTCTCAGGAGGTCGATAGACCATCAGAACGTGATTCCCCGCAGGACTGGCATGAGGCTATTGACGAGATCAATCGGAAGATGCAGGATCTGGCTCGAGGAATTCAACGTCAACGTCGGGATCATGACGACATCATTTCGAGGTTTGAGACCGTGAAGTCACATGTTGAACAGTATGAAGCGAGATCGGCAATTGTGAATCGGGTCGTTGATGGCATCCAAGGACAGATCCGTAATCTTCCTGCCAGCAGTGACCAAGTGCAGCCTGCCGTTAGGCGAGAACTCGGCACATTCCGGAGTACACTTGAAGGTGTTATGCGGAGAGTCAGCGCTATCGATGGCAACGTGCGTAACCTTAGCGCCGCGAACAACAGAATCATGTCCCAGCTCTTTGAGATGGAGGGTCAATTTGACGAGGCTGCTGGCATTATTCAGGGTGTCCAGCAGATTAATGAAGCTCCTCCACAACCCAGAGAAAGACGGAATGTTGGTTACCATGCATTTGCGGGGCAAGGACATAGGATCAGGTCACCGACGCCTACACCTGGGGAAGGTGACGGCCGGGGTACTGGCCTGCCGGTGAGACCAGGCGGAGGCGTCGTTTTGCCTGATCATGTTTTGCCGAATGTGCCCGATAGGGTCGATCCTTCTCGCGCAGACAGGCATCCCATCAATCCCGTTAGGGAGAGGTCCGACAGCAGGAGCAGGAGGGTTCGGGGGTTGCCTGACAGGTCGCATTCGCCACCGGAGCGTGCAAGGGGTGGTCCCCGCGCGCGCGCAAGGGGGGAC